ATTGTAGTGCAGCTTCTTGCCACTAGGCCACCAGAGCTGCCTACTGTTAATGCTTCTAATCAGTTCTGTCTGCTTTATTCTCCAGAATTTTGTCTTTATAATTTCTTTAATTTGGCTCGGCTTTTTTTCTTAGATGTTTCTAACTTTGGTATTGTTACCTTAAAAGAAGCTATCTAGAGAGCTCTGGTGGCCTAGTGGCAAGAAGATGTATTGCAATCCCAGAGGTGCACGGTTCAAATCCACCAGATGCTCTGCTGGAGGAGGAGGGACAATCTCCTCCTGTACCAGTCAGATCCGATTTGACGGTATACACACACAAAACAATAAAATTTAAAAAAAAAGCTATCTAAGGGAGCTCTGGTGGCCTAGTGGCAAGAAGTTGCACTTCAGTACCGAAGGTGAATGGTTCAAATCTACCAGATCCTCTGCTGGAGAAGGAGAGGCAACTTCTTCCTGTGCCAGTCAAATCCGTTTCGAAGGTACACAACAAGAAAAGAAATAAATTAATTTTTTTAAAACGGAAATTATCTGACCTAAAAAAAAAGCATTAGGCAAAAATCTAAAATATATTATGTGTATATTTATGCATAGTTGATACATTAAAACCTTCACAGTTGTGCTGAGTCATAAGTTTGGAACAGAGTTTTAAATCATCTTTAGTGCTTTTCTTAATTAGAAGCATGCTATTAATGAAATATACCTTACTTTTCAGGAACAGGGTTTCTATGTAAATTTTTTATTAGTGGAGACTTTTATTTAGAGGTCAGCTTTTAAGAAAAGCAGGATTAGTACTAGTGAAACTCTGTGACTACAGATCTAATTTTGCCTAAGCAGAGGGATTATTTTCTTATTCTTTTGACTGTATAAGAGGCTCTGATTTGGGCTGTAGAGAAAGATAAGACATTCCATAAAGCTTATTGCCTCACTGTTCTTTTTTGCATTGACTGATAACATAGTGTTTTGTGTGGTGGGCTACTAAACCAAAGACAGTAGTTCCAGTTCACCAGCAGTTCTGTGGAGGAAAGATGAGAAGACAGTCTCTTCCCAAAGATTTGAGGCAGTGGAAACCCGATGAAAGGTTGTCCTGAGTCAGGATTGACTCGATGGCAGGGAGTTTGGATTTTGCTTATCTCTGAGGAGAGAGTGATGCATTTCTTGACTCCATACCCTTCCAACGCATACACACACAAACATACACATGGTGTGCCTTCCAGTTGTCAGGTCTCAGTTGATAGATTCCGTCTTTGAAGGAAGAAGCAGTTTAATGCCAGAATACTACTGACTATAGTACTGTATTCTGTTAATAGGTCTTTTTTTCCCCCTGGAATTGACATAAATCTACACCTTGTCAAAGTTAATTTGAAGTGTCATGTACCATTTGTCCATTTGAGATATGCAGACATGACTTTCTTAAGTTCTATTCCCACCTCCTCACCTACAGAATTCTTGGAAAATAAATTAGCTTTTATGACTTTGGCAATGAAAAGTAATCAAGGTTTTTGTTGGTCTTTTGTTTGTAGATTTAGAGACTGGCTATTGAGGTTCCCTTTTTCCTTTTTAATAACCACAGTGTGAAGCCTGGCAGACCAAGGACCTCATCTGTTTAGTTCAGTGCTGTATTTCCAGCACCTAACATAGACTCTCTCAAACACACATTGCTGTTGAGTCAGAACTGACTCAGCAGACTGTCCAGTGGCCTTTTAAAGGCTGTAAATGGAACAGGAGGAGATTGCCAATCTTTCTCCCTCAGAGCTTCTGCCTGCCATTATATAATTGATTCTAAATAAATATTTTTTTGAGGGAAAGACTTTGAGAGAAGAAAAATTAAGGCTCCCAACTTTAAAAAATACATGTTCTTCAGCTTTTCTTGCTCTCTTCTCCACCATCATGTTTAGTTCAGCTCCCTTTACTGTGTCTTCTCATAAGACTTACAGCATCAGGAGGTTCTCAGAACTATCTCATTCCTCAATAGATTAGACTAAAAACTGGTAATAAAATCAAGTACAACCTCAAGAGGAGACATCAGAGAAGAACCAAGCTTACTTAGTCTCTAAGAAGTTGTACATGATGGCACTCATATTATAACATTGACATTGTTCCATATCAAGTTGGATTTCCGGTAGCTTAATGGTAAGGAATTGAGCTGCCAGCCCCAAAGCAGGCATTTCAAATCCACCAGCTACTCCATAGGAGAAAAATGGGCAGTCTCCTCCTGTGCTATTTACAGCCTCTGAAAACCTGCTGGAGAGTCAGCTCTGGATAGCTTCTGACGTGATGACACATAACAACAACATACCAGGTTGACTAATACTCTATCAAGTTACAAATTACAACATGACCTGATCAATTAGAAATGTAATGTTATGTTTTTTCCCTTTGTTTTTGTGAATCCACAGGAAGAGATTCACTAATAAATACGTGAGACTTTAGGTGTGATGGGAGAAAAGTTCACAACTTTCTTTGCAGATTATTAGTATGACAGTCTAAATGCTGGCCTCGAGTTTCTCTTTGATTCTACTAATTGCTATTTAAAGTCATGGAGTCTTTCAAGACTTAATAGTAAGTGGTGATAGATGGTGAGTGATGGTTATGGTAGTGTGTGTGGAGGAGTGGAAAGGTAAAAGACCTACTGCAGTTGAGTAGACTCTGACTCACAGTAGCCATGTGGGCATCACTACAACCCACAAGGTTTTCATGACTGTAAATCTTTTTAGAAGCAGATCACTACAGCTTTCTCACAGAGCAGCTGTTGGGTTCGGACTACTGCCCTTTTGCTTAGCAACTGAACACTAACCAGTGCATTACTAGGTCTGCTGGGAATGGGAATAAGCCTGACCATTTCAGATCAAAGAGCTGGTTTGAGAGTGATGGAAGCCATAAAAATATAGACTATTTCAAGGATTTAATGACTCTCAGGGAGATGGTCAGTCAGGTGTTCATCAAGCTACCGAAGTTTTTTGTTGTTGTTGGGTTTTTTTATTATTTTTTGTGTGTACCATCAAATTGAATCTGACTGGTACAGGAGATTATTGCCCCTCCTTTTCCAGCAGGACATCTGGTAGATTTGAACCACGTACCTTTGGGATTGCAGTGCAACTTCTTGCCAGTAGGCCACCAGAGCTCCACCAAACTACCAGAGTTCTTAAGAATAAAATTTTAAGGGGATTTCTTTTGCCTAGAAGGGGACCAAGAACTGCTGCAGTAGCACCGTGATTTTCATTCCTGAGTTTTGTGGGAGGAGAAAGGGAAAATATTCTCATTATGGTGTTTATATTCTCTATGGAGACATGGACACCCTAGAAATCTTGGTGGTATTCAGGTGTGACAGAATTTGAGTCAGTTTGGAGTTGACATTATCTGGGTGATTTACAAAGAAGAGTTTATATTTCCTTTACAGATGAGCACCGGCTTCACAGTGGCAAACTCTGTTTGATTATCCTTACATGTATTGCAGAGGTAGGTCTCCTGATATTAGCTAATGTCTTTTTAAAAAAAATTTTTTTTTTAAATTTAGCTAATGTCTTTGTTTTTCCCCCCATTTCCTACCTCTTGACTTAGGGTTGAATTTGGGGGGAGAACTTCTTCCCTCTTTGTCTCTTTCCACTAGAAAGTCTCTGACGCAGGCACTTTGTCTCCTTTATCACTGCATCACACATAGAGACTCAATATTTATTAGATGAATTAATAATGAATGTGATATGACAACTACTATAATTGAGAATGGGAAGATTTTGGCTCAAAGTTTTAAACAAGGGATTTACGCTTCTTTAGGGAAAAAAATCCTTTCCTTTGAAGATGTTCATACTGGATAATTTACATTTAGTAGGTTTAATAGGAGCTTAGGTTTTCTATGAAGGAATGAAGAGAAAAACAGGAGAGTCAGAAACTTAGTAAATTTGGGCTAGTTGTATTTTAGTGAAGATCAAGAGTACTGGGGCAGGGGAGGGAGGTGAGGAAGGAGCTTTGGCTTTGGAGGATAGCACCTTTGGTTGGTTTAATTGGATTGACTCACCCTGGATCTTGGTGGCATGCAGGTATAACAGAACTTGAGTCAATTTAGAGTTGACATTATAGTTTTAAACTCTCTATCACCTTTTATTTTACTCCCTTCTTTTTTTCCTTAAGAAAAGTAATAAAGGTGGTCCACCTGGAGTTGAGATCTCTCAGTCTTTTCCCTTTTATGTTTTCTGTGAAAAGATGACCTACTTTTTACAAGGTTAAGGGTAGTTGGTGTAAAACAGCTGCTTATTAGCAGTGGGCCTAGTGTAATTGCTTTTAAAAAATCTTTCTAAGAAAATCTTAAAAGAGTTGTTTTTCATGAATTGTAACAGTTCCTAGTAATTGGAGTCTGTAGGCATGTCAGATCTTCACTAACGGTATTGGGAAAGGGCCAAGGGATGTTTATTACCAATCCACTGTGAGAAGTTTTGATTTTCCATCAGCCCTCAGCAGAGTCAGGAATAGGCAGGGTCTTATTGGCTGTCGTGCATCCTAGGGGGCAGTTCTCTCCTGGTGCACTTGCCCAGTCCCAGCAGAGCACAGACCTACCTTCTGATTTGTCAAGCCTCCTTTGGAGCCTGCACGTGCACCTTCAGCCCTATGAAAACCTCCAAGCTGTCATAGACGGGCTGACACCTTGAGCAGATGGAATGGAAGAGAGAATAAAAAAACAGACTCCTCTCAGCATTGGCTTCCAGTCCCTGTGTCCTTATTTTTATCATTTGTAATTTACTTAGAGATTTTTGACCAGTTAGGCACACTGGGAAATTACATCCAAATCACATGAAAATCACATGGCTTAAGTAGAATTTGACTTGGCACATCCTAATAGCTTTTTGATTGAGCCTTGAAAGTAGTTCTTAAAACCCAAAGATTTTCAGGGAGTGTGGTAGTTTACAAACTGAATTTCTTAAGTGTAATTCTTACTCTTTATTTTTTCTCTGTATTTTTATTAGGATCAGTATGCCAATGCATTTTTGCATGATGACAACATGAACTTTCGAGTAAACTTACATAGAATGGTAGGTGTGACATCTGCTTCTGTGTTATTGGTTTTTTTTCTCTCAGAGAAAATTATATATATGTATTGGCAAGGATAAAGGAGAAGATGAAATTGATCCCGCTTGAGAAATTGGGGTGGAAGAGTTGTGCCAACAGCCTCTTGCTTGACTTTATTCTTTAATAGATCCACACCTATACTTGGAATTTTTAAAAGTGTGTTTTATGAAACTTTTTTTAATCAAAAAAAGAGAGAGATCTACAACTATATATTCATAACTGTAAAATTGGAAATATGTTTTTAACACAAGTTTCAATAAGGGACTGATTCTAACTCTTTAAAATGTGATTTTTTTAAAAAAAATGGTTAAGAATAGATACTACTTTGATTTATTCATCTGGGAGATAGAGGAAAAACAATCAGGAGATTTGGGGAATTTCCTGAAACTTGGTGGTATATTAAAAAATAGTTTATGAAAGTTTAGGTTTGAAAGTTACTTTTGCTTTTTGCTGTTGCCATTATTGCTGCCCCACACCTGCTGCCATCACTACCTCCTCCTTATTTTCTCAATTATTTTATTATCAAAAAAAGCAATACCTGTACACATCCCTTAGAATTAATAATGTCACTTATACAGGTAAAATCAGTGTGAAAACAGTAGCTTTTTTTGTGGTATGTTCAGTGCCCTTTGAGGCTGGTGTTTTGCTGTGAATTTTTTCCCCCACAGGCCTGCATTGCTTGCAGAATATTAAATGATCCGGGAAGTATCAAGAGAAGATGGAAGGAATACACAGAGTCACTGTATCAGAAGGAATTGGCTGACACAGAAAAATGTCATGAAATGACATATGAGCAAGAGCCTATGGTGATGAAAGAGGAAGTTCAAATTGCTCTGAAGGAATTGGCAAAAAACAAGGCTCTAGGAGTTGACTGCATACCAGTTGACATATTTCAACAAACAGACACTGGCCTCAATGTGGTCACTAAGTTGTGCCAAGAAATCTGGGTAACAGCCAGCTGGCTCACTGACTGGAAAAGATGGATATTTGTTCCTATTCCAAAGAAAGGTGACCCAAAAGAGTGTGGAAATTATCAAATAATATCATTGATATCACATGCATGCAAGAGTCTGCTGAAAATGATCCAAAAACATTTGGAACAGTGTCAGCAGAGAACTGCCAGATGTGCAGGCTGGATTTAGAAGAGGTCATGGTTCAAAGGATATTATAGTTAATTTTAGATGGATCTTAGCAGAAAGCAAAGAATACCAGAAGAATGTCTATCTGTGCTTCATTGACTATGCAAAGGCTTTTGATTGTGTGGATCACAACAAGCTGTGGCTGACTCTGAGGATAACGGGAATCCCAGAACATTTGATTGTGCTAATGTGAAATTTATCCTTGGACCAAGAGGCAGTTATCAGAACAGAGCAAGGAGACACTACATGATTTAAAATCAAGAAGGGGGTTCATCAGGGATGTATTCTGTCTCCATACGTTTTCAATCTGTATGCAGAACAGATCATCCGAGACACTGGGCTATACGAAGAAGAATGTGGCATTAGGATTGGTGGAAGAATCATCAACAACCTGTGTTATGCAGATGACACAACCCTGCTTGCTGAAACTGAGGAGGACCTGAAGCGCTTGCTGCAGAAGGTCAAGGACTACAGCCTCCTCTATGGACTGAAGCTCAACATCAAGAAAACAAAGATTCTCACCACTGGGCCAAATGGCAGCATCAGTATGGATGGTGAAGAGATTGATATTAACAGTTTTAATTTACTTGGCTCCACAGTCAACACTCTTGGTAACAGCACCCAGGAAATCAAGAGACAAATTGCATTGGGAAAGTTGGCTTTGAGGGACCTCTCAAGAGTACTGAAGAGCAACGATGTCAGACTGGAGACTAAGGTGTGCCTGATCCTGGCTATAGTCTTCCCAGTTACGTGCTATGCATTAGAGAGTTGGACAGTGAGTAGGGTTGATAGAAAGAGAATTGATGCCTTTGAGCTGTGGTGCTGGAGAAGAGTGTTGAATATACCATGGACTGCTAGGTTTGTCCTGGAGAGGGTGAAGCCAGAATGTTCCCTGGAGTCAAGGATTCTGAAGGTTCGTCTGACATATGTTGGCCATGTTGCAAGGAGTGACTGGTCCTTGGAGAGGGACATGATGTTTGGCAGAGTGGAGGGGCGGCGAAGGAGAGGAAGACCTTTGATGAGATGGATCGATTCTGTGACTGAAGCAGTGGGAATAAGTGCGTTTGAGATGGCTAGGTTGGCACAGGATAGAAGAGCATATAGAGCTCTTGTACATAGGGTCGCTATGAGTCTCAAGCGACTCGATGGCACATAACAACAACAATAACAACAGCAGGCCTGCATTGATAATTGAGAAGCATTTACAAATCCTCTCTTTCTACCTAACCTCACCACTAGAAAAAAGGAAGAAAAGTTATAATTTAAGTAGTGATTTTGTGTGAGAAAGGTGATGATGAGCTATTCTATGACAGGTTAGGTGTGTACTAGTTTCTTTCCTCCTCCTCTTTTTTTTTGTGTGTGTGTATGAAGCCTATGAGACACAGGAAGAAGGCAGCAGACAAGAATCTTCCCTGCCGGCCTTTAGTGTGTGCAGTACTGGGTGAGTGAGTATCATCAAAATTATCATTTTTCCAAGATAGATACAGTTTTTTTATGATGAGGGAGAGGGATAAATTTTGGTTGGTATACATCTTCCTCAGAGAAGTTACTAGTTTCTTCTTTAGCCTAAAAAGTTGTGTTTATTTCATTTTTTAAAATATATATACAGTTTTATTATGATATTAACAAAATTTTACAGAAAACTTGGATTGCTATTCATTCATTGTTGCACATTTTCCTCCCTATGCCCCCCAGTTTGCTTTTTAAAATTTTTTTAATTAATTTTATTGAAAGTTTACAGAGACTTTGGATTTCCATTCATTCATTGTTGCACTTTTCTCCCTTCCCAACCTCCCCCCAATTTGCTCTTCTCTTTGAAAAGTAAAAGAAAAATTCTTTCATTGTTACACAGAAGATGTGTTTATTGTTGAGTTTTGTGTAACAACTGCAGAGAATAAAATGATTAATAAATAGATGTATTCAAAGGAAAAGTTCTTTCCCAAGAGGCAAATGACTATGATTAAGCTTGATGCATAATCGAGATTTATAAAATATGTAATTCTTTAAGATTTAAAATTACATCCTTCTTTTGATGTGTTAGCTCAGAAAGCTTTTGAAGTTCAAAGTTCAGGCATACAAATTTCTTCTGAATAAATAAAGCTTCGATGAGACAGAAAGAGCTGACCCATAACACTATATAATGGCTAATTTTATCTGCTGAGAATTCTGTATTTTTCTCTGAACTTTTTTCTTTATTAATTTTAATGAAAGTTTAGAGAGACTCAGGGTTTCAAGTCATTCATTGTTGCACTTTTCTTCCTGCCCGCCCCCCCAATTCACTCTTCTCCTCAGAAAGAAAAAGAAAAACTCTTTCAATGTTATGCAGTCCCTCCCCCCTCCAAGTTCACTCCACTATGCAGCCCTCACTGTGGACTTCTGTAATGACAAGAATGCCCATTCGTGTATCCCTTTTAAGCAGTTCTCTCCCTCATCTGTTTGAATGCATTATACATCACTCCTCCCCTCCTTTTTGGTCTTCCCTCAACCCTGATGTCAGTCCCGTTTTACAACAGTGTCTCTGAACTTTTTAAATTGCCTTTAACTTGGACATTCAACCCAGTTACCAAATCTCCTTGTTTTTAGAAATAGGAATTAAGATTATATAATAAGCTTTTATTGATCCAGAACCCCACAGACCATTTGAGTCAATATTTGTCAAACTGAATGTGATAGTGAGATGAGCTAGACTGACAGAGCTTTAGAGCTGAGACTGATTACACAGATGTGATCCATAATTTTGTTTCTGCTTGCCCCATAGTTCTGTTCTCAGACTATGATTTCCCTCTGGTATTTTGCCTTAGTGCCATGGTGCAATATCTGTACAATGAAATCATTCTTGTATCTAAGTTTGTTGGCAGGTCGTATTCTTATGGAAGTAGGAGAGCAAACGAATTTTCTTGTTACTTTACAGGTGGCAGGTGGTAAGCAGTGTTGAAAAAAATGCCTTCTATAAAATAGGCTTAAGTTCTTGTGAATACAGATGTGTTTAGTGGACGCCCTTCAAGCATGAGTGATTTTTCCAACTGAGACATTATGATCTCTTTTTTCTCCTTTTTCCTTCCAGACTTGATGGTAGAGTTTATTGTAACACATATGATGAAGGAGTTTCCTATGGATCTCTATGTGTAAGTATCACGTCTCATTTAATGTGTATAAATTGATATTGTAGAGTTGAGTAACAGGAAATTTTATAGTTACACAAGATTTCTCTGCTTCACTTTCACAAAAACAGATTTGTGTGTTGTGTGTATGTTAAGTGTTATGAAACAAATGTATGGCCTGTATTTGTACATCTTTCCAGGAGGGGGAAAAGTGCAAATCACAATTTGAATTCTGTGTATGTCTGCAGTATCACTTTTAGGCACACTGCATGAGCAGGGCTGATATATTGGAATAGAAATCTTGGTGACAGTGGTTTTTTATTACCTTGGAGTTGGAATTGACTCATAGCTGACTCGCTAGCAAGTTTTCAGAGAATTTGCTCCCATGTAAATTACATGGGAGGAAATTGCCCATTTTTCTCCTGAGAAGCAGCTGGTGAATTTGAACCTCTTGCCCTTGGGTAACAGCACAACTCTTTACCCATCAGGTCACGAGAACTCCCAGATATCTTGTAGAGCCATTGTTATCCAAAGACTTGACATAACAAACAGACTATCTATTGTACCAGGTTTGGTATCACAGTAGTCAGAAATAGTTAGATGCTAAGACAACATCAGAGACCTTCTGGTTCTTTCTTAGCTCCATAGCCCTGGTAACCTACCCAGAATCCTGCTGATTTAGTAATCTATGAATATTGTGCCTTAGTTCAGGAGGTCTGATTGTCCATCACAGTTATTTATGATGAGTTTTAATTGCAGTAACTGTAAATCATCGTAATTTTTTAAATGAATTCTACATTTATACTTTAGTGAAATTTTTCTTTTCTTTGTGCAAGCATGCACAGTTATTTCCCCATTAACATTAACTTACTATTCCTGAGGATCCAGTCTAATATTCTGAGATTTTGTTGTTTATTTTGTCTTATGTAAATTATTCTTAAGATTGTAGTGCTCAAAAGAGACATAAATAGGTAAGCTAAATTATTGTTCAGTTTTAAAAACATTTTAGAAGATATTTATAGTTTGTTGTTATTAGATGCCGTTGAGTTGAATATGACTCGAATAGTGATCCTATGAACAACAGATCTGTACTCTGTCCTATCTTGTTCCATTCTCATCATCTCTGATCTAATTGAGCCTACTACTGCAGTCACTGTGTCAAATTTATGGTTTGAAGTATAAGTATTTTCTCAGGGTGATAGTTTTAGGGGTTTATCGACTCTTGTTGGCTCTAGAGTTCATGAGAATTTGACACTCTTTTCTTCATTTCCTCCTTTGATCAGGATTTGTCTATGGAATCTTTGTTTAAAATGTTTATTAATGGTAGCCAGGCACCATGCTATTCTTTTGGACTTTGGATAGGAAAGGACAAAGTTGTTCTTGGAGACTGTTAGATATACCTTACTCTTAATTCCTAATTCTCCTCCTTCTCTGTTCCTGTGGGTAAAATTGAAACCATGCCTTGGATGGCCACTTGCAAATGTTAAGATTCTAGATATTACATAATAAACTACCTAAATTAGCTAACTTGTTGCTTTCAAGTTGGAACCAACTCATCGCTTACCACCCAGTGGGTTTTCAGAGGCAGTAACTCACATAGGAGGAGATTACACATCTTTCTCCTGTGGGACAACTGCTTACCTGTGGATTGGCAGCACAACTCTATCCATGAGGCCACTAGAGTTCCCTAATGAATGTCAAAGTAGAATAACCAAAATACATTACTGTCAAGTTGATTCTGACTCATAATGATCCTCCGTGGGATTTCTGAGGCTCTGAATCTTTTTTAGGAAAGAGTGCCTCTTTTGTCTTGCGGAGTAGCTGGTGTATTTGAACCATTAACCTTTCAGTTAGCAACTCAGTATGTTGTACACTATGCCATCAGTGCTCTAGAAGATAGACTGGAAGCTCTAAACATGTTCCTAGGCCAGTTAATTGAGATATCCCACGGCACCATGACCTTGAATCACCACATTTGGGAACCAAATCCCATGAGATATTTGGTTATACATGAGGTATTTGGTTGCAGCCTCAGCACCTACTCTTGTAAATATATGTCATACAGCCTTTGCCAATTAAATATTTACAAGTGTACAAGTACTTACTGATGGCAATTACAATAAGCAGCAATGCAGTTCTATTTTTAATCAATGACCTTTTTTAAAATTTTAATGAAAGTTTACAGAGACTTTGGATTTCCATTCATTTATTGTTGCTCATTTTCTTCCCTGCCCACCCCTCTCCCAGTTCGCTTTTCTCTTTGAAAAGTAAAAAAAAAAAATTTCATTGTTATACAACCCCCCAGTCCACTCCACTAAGCACATGGACTCTTGTTATGACAATAATACCTAGTCATATATTCCTCCTAAACAGTTCTCTCCCTCATCTATTTCCATGCAGTATACATTATTTATCCCCTCTTAGTTTCACCCCAACCCTGCTGTCAGTCCTGCTTTACCACAGTGGCACTATGCAATATTTGTCCTTTTGTGACTGAGATATTTCACTCAGCATAATGACCTCCAGGGTCACCCATTTTGTATAATATTTCATTAGTTCCTTGTTTTTCAATGCAGCATAGTATTCCATTGTGTGAATATACCAGAGCTTCTCTATCCATTTGTTTGTTGATGGGCACTTGGGTTATTTCCAACTCTTTGCTAATGAAAACAAAGCCACAATAAACATGGGTGTGTATATATCTACTTGGGTGGCAGTTCTAGTTTCTTTAGGGTATATTCCCAGTAATGAAATTGCTGGGTCAAATGGTATTTCTATTTGCAACTTTTTGAGAAAGCATCATACTGCCTTCCATAGTGGTTGCACCTTTTTACACTCTCACCAATAGTAAATAAGGGTTCCTGTTTCTCTGCAACTTCGCCTGCATTTGTTTTTTGCTGTTTTGTTAAATTTTGCTATGATCAATGACATTTTTCTAAGTGGTTAACCTCCATTTCCTCCTTCAGCCACCCTTGGTAGCCACTTTATTCTATATGTTTGTCTTTTCATGTCTTTTTTGTATAAGTAAGGTTTAATGTTATTTGTTCTTTTGTAATTTATTTCATTCTGCATAATATCTTCCAAGTTCCATCCATACTGTAGCATGTATCAAGATTTCATTTGTACTACTGGCTGAGTAATACTCTTAATTGTACACATTTTTAGTCTATTTTTATGCTAATAAACACATAAACTGTTTCCATCTTTTGACTGTTGTGAATAATGCTTGAATTGGTAATCATTGGTGTACATGTCTTTGTTTGAGTCTCAATTTTCAAATCTTTTGCTAGGAGTGGAATTACGAAGTCATATTGTTGTTGTTAGGTGCCGTTCAGTCAACTATAACTCATAGTGATGCTGTAAGCAACAGATCTGAACCTTGCCCTATCCTGTACCATCCTCATGGTACCTATCATGCTCTGGACCCTTGTGGCATTTACTGAAACAATCCATCTTATTATGGAAATAGGCATCTTAGTTTTCTTGTTTTAAGAAAAAACTTCTAAGTCATTCTCTATTTTCTTTTTTTAATTTAATTTTATTTATTTTATTTTATTTTATTATTTTTGTGTGCGTGTACCGTCAAATCAGATCTGACTGGTACAGGAGAAGATTGCCCCTCCTTCCCCGGCAGAGCATCTGGTGGATTTGAACCGTGCGTCTCTGGGATTGTAGTTGCAGCTCCTTACCACTAGGCCACCGGAGCTCCCCCATTCTCTATTTTCTGTTGGGTTATTTTCCCCTTAATGAACTTTCACACTGTTTTTCCTCAATAACTGTACCATTATGCATTTCTGTCTATAGTGGCCACCACACCAAACCAAATCCACTACCATCAAATCAATTTAGATTCATAATGACCATATATTGGGTTTCTGAGGCTATAGATCTTTATGGGAGTAAACTCACCTTTCTCCTGTGGAGCACCGGGTGAACTTGAACAGCTGACCTTACTGTTAGCTATACATTATACACTATGCCACCAGGGCTGCTTAGCAGCAGGTAAAAGTTCTAATTTTCCCCACATTTCTCACATTGTTTATTATTTTCATTTTAAAAAAATCTTAGCTATTCTAGTGGGAGGGAGTTTTTCAATTTGTCATTGCTGATATAGTAGATCATGTAATTGGTATAGTAGATCATGTAATTGGTTGATTCAAAATGACCAGTACCAGCCCAACCTGGGATGTCAACCTTTATGTGTTCTATTTTATTTTTTTACAACTTCCAATATTCTTTGTTTCATCTGTTGGACATTTCTTATTCCAATTAATGGATATTTGGAGCTGTTTTTCTTCATTTTGAGTCTTGCCACATCAGCAAATGGAACATCTTTCATTGGGCGAAAACTTTATTCCGTCTGAGTTATTAAGATGGAATAAACTTTGAAGGGGCTGCTCTTTCACAGTTGCATTCTGAGTGCCTTGCAACGTGAGGTGCTCATCTTCCAGTACTGTATTCACAAGGTTCTCAAAGGCCAGCTATTTCAGCAGTGAGTGGTCAGCCCTGCTTCTTAATCTGCCTTGGTCTGGAACCTCAGCTGAAATCTCTCTACTATGGGTGGCCTGCCTAATATTTTGACATTTTAAATACTGATGGTATAGCTTCCAACATCATAGCTTACACACAACCACAGAACTGCTCACTGAGACAGTGAAAAATAGATACTACATACATACTAAAATGGATAAAGAGAAGGGCAATAGACAACAAAGGGACTATCACCATAATACTACTTAAGTGAGGGAAGACACAGGGAGGAAAACAAGAAATAAAGACTACAGTGAAGGGAAAGGCAATACCCAGTAAGGGATTGATTAGTCAGGGTAATTAAGTAATTACATTAATCAGTTGTAATGAATGTTAGAAAATAAAATGCCTATAAATGACTTAATAAAAAAATCAGTATGATTTATAAAGTTCCATTAAAAAATAAAAACTTCTCAGTGACAGCAACTATGAAGACCTGACCAATTGTTTAATGTGCTTATCTGCCCAGGCATTGATGTTTTATCCTAATTTTA